AGGTGATTATGATCAATGGTTAAAACAATAAATAAATTGATTACTAGAAATAAAATAAAAATTACCTTGCTGTTGTCATTGTTGAAAGACCGAAAGGACAGGTTAGAGATTGATCACCATGGAAAAATTTTATGTAGTCTCAGGGAGTCAAAAATGACTTGATCATACATATAATCACTAGGTTCTACTGATAAATTATCCCTTAATGAAGAAATTATATTATTTTTCCTCAAGTCTCTGGAACAATTCAGTTTGGATGATTGCTAACTCCTAAGTCAAATCATATACACATTCTTATAAAAATGAAATAAGTATCAGTTGCCTTATTGTATATTTTATCATGGATGGCAAAAGGTTAGTATCAAGCAAATTTAAATCTGATAATCCTAACTCAAATTCCAGATGAACTTCTAATACTTCCATAAAAAAAGACAAAAACAGTAATGTACCAAAGTGGCACAGTGCGGCACAAAAACCGGGTATGTCAAAATTATTTTTCATTATTCAGTATAAAAATGGCAGTTGAACTTTCTGTTTGCATGATGACTAATTACTCAATCCAAGACACGTTCATAAAGAAGCAAATTGCATTTTATTCAGTAGAAGTTTCCATTACTATAAATAGATATAGGTAAAGAATTGCTCCTTTGATCACTACTGAACTGAAAGCATTTTTTTTCTGGTTATGACAAATATAGTCCTGTCAAAATCCTATAAATAGAGACAACAAGGTTCTCTGTTGACAATTATTTAGATAAATAGCCTTAGTAAATTGTAGGACCAAGCAGATCCTGAAAGATCTCATAAGCTACAAGTGGAATGGGCTTTAGTATTTGGGATTGCCTGGCAATTCCTCAGCACTTTTAGTCAGAATTGGAGTTATTAAAAAAAAAAAAATCACAGTGAAACAGTGTTTCCATAACACTATCAAGAAAACTGCTTGGATATGATTACCAGGAATCAGGCATAATTTGAAAATGTCTTTATCTTCTTAATCAGATAAATATCAGATTTGTCAGTTTGTCCAATACAGATAGTCCTCGACTTATGACCACAATTGAGCCCAAAATTTCTGTTGCTAAGTGAAACATTTGTTAAGTGTGTTTTGCTCCACTTTATGACTTCCTTGCCACAGTTGTTAAATGAATCATTACAGTTAAGTTAGGAACAGGGTTAAGTGAATCTGTTTGTCAGGTTGCAAAAAGTGATCATATGACCCTGTCATAAATACATGCCAGTTGCCAAGCACCTGAATTTTGATCTCATGACCACAGGGATGCTGCAATGGTTGTGTGAAATACGGTCACAAGTCACAAAGTTGCCATTGCAACTTTGATCAATCACTAAACAAATTGTTTTAAGTCAAGAATTACCTATATTTACTAAGAGTTATTCCAAAGTAAATAAGCATAGAATTGCCTCTATACTTAAGCATCTATCAAATTCAAACAATTAAACAAAGAATAAATAATATAGAAATACATAGTCTTGATGTTTACATTATGCTTAATGTATAGTGTTGCTCTTATATAGGATGTGGAAAGTTCAACTGATGCAAAGTGCTGCAGTTAAGATGGTTCCTCACAATTTCTTTTTAAAAATCTTTGCACAGGATGCCAATTTCTTTCCAAATGTTAGTGTACATTTGTGTATACATTTGTGTGTGTGTGTGTGTGTACTATTGCACTCTCATTTAACAGGCCAAGATTTCTATCAATTATGTAAATTATGCAAATTGATGCATATGATGTAATTTGGTGTATAGTATAGTTAAAATGCTGGCCTAGAAACCAAGAAATGTTGAGTTCTAGATCTCCCTCAGGCATAAAAGCCAGCTAGGTGAATTTACCCCAATTTTCTGTTGGCCAAAATCAGCTTGAACTTTCTTTCTAATACTACTTGACAAGATGCCTTCTATAATGGCTTTTAAAGTTTTAAATGCACATACCCATCAGTTGTCATTTAATTACTTTTTAAATGATAAACCTTTATAAAAATAATTTATTTCTACTTTAACATGCAGTAATATAAGTTTGGTGTATTTCACATTTTATTATGAATGTAAATAAATTGCTTATATTTGAGAGACTTACCTATGCAAAGGGACATTTTCCACGCAAAAATATGAATTACCAAGTAATTTAGGCAACGCAAAAGGCATTTATTAACGGGGATACCAAGGCTTTTTATAAGGTACAGAAATAAATGATGCATACATTTGGTATATGTGATATGTCAGAAAGCAAGTAATCAAGTGCTCATTGCATAAAACTTAAACAATAGAAAACATAATTTTAATAACATTTGCAAGAGGCAAATTATGGGTTATATTACACTTTACCAGCTGAGTTTTATTTTTCTTATAACTTGCAAGTATACTCAAGGACTTTCAGAAATTGCTCTCTATTGCTTAGTGGTAAAAAGACAAGTTTTTGCATTCCAATAGAAATGGCCTTGGCTAAGAGTAAGTGCCATTATGTTTTGTTATTTGCCCTGTGCAAGTTTGCATTTTAATATCCAAGTTGCTTCATAATTAATTGAATTAATACAAGCATGGCAGAAATACCTCTTGTGTATCTGGGCAACTGATGTCCTTTGAAAATAGATTGGGGGATTGGAGTGTTCCTGCATTATAGTGAAATCAAATGCAATAATGTGATTTACCCAACAATCAGTATTACAGCACAGGAAAAAGAGAATATCTCTTACTCCAAAGAGTCTGTAAAGAAGAAATACAATCAATCATATGCTGCTGATAACTAGGAATTTTGCTTTTCCAGCCTATCCCACCCCTATTTGCAGCATAAAAAAGATTGTAAAAGTAGCAATAGAAGCAAAGGTCCAAAGAAATCATGGTTTTTTTAGAAGTAGTAAGTCCACAAAAATTATTTGTGGCAAGTTCCAAGAATCTGACAATATCCACCTACAACTAAGGAGAAATTTCCTGACAGTTAGAACAATTAATCAATGGAACAACCTGCCTCTAGAAGTTGTGAGTACTCCAACAATGGAAGTTTTTAAGAAGAGACTGGACAGCCATTTGTCTGAAATGGTATAGGGTTTCCTGCCTGAGCAGGGGGTTGGACTAGAAGACCTTCCTTCCAACTCTATTATTATTATTGTTGTTGTTGTTGTTGTTGTTGTTACCTGTGAGGAAACCAAGGACCTTTTTCTTTTACAAGGACAGTGGGTTGGGTAGCAAAAATCTGAAGTGGACTGTCCAAGGTTGGATCTAGAGTCCTGTGATGGAAATTTTAAGTAGCACAAATTCTCCCTGCTGAAACTGATTGCTCAGGGCAACTGAAGGTCCCATTGCTGTCCACAGCTTTCAGTGCTGCTTCTGTAATGATGGAAACTGTTTGGCAGTTAATTCATTTCCCCCTAGCCATGGATGCACTGAGCTAGCAGAGAAGCCACTATTTATGAGTCCTTTGTCTAGAAGGAATAAGCCCGTTTATAACAGTTTGGGTATCACAATGTCCTTTCACGCTTAGCTGATGAGTCAGAAGATGAAGAAAAGCATGTAGAAAAATTGGGTGCCTACTGGAAACCATCCAGAACTATTCCAAGATGCATCATAAAGATATTGCAAGTGGCAGTTCCAGCATTTGAAAAAAACTTCTCATAAGCAATAGCAGAGATACCTTTAAACATAGAAAAACTAATTAGCATTCAGATCAGCAAAGTGATTGCCTTTCATAAAACAGAGAAATGTACCCAAAAGTGAAACCATCAGGTTTGCGTGAGTAATTTGGCAGCCTGAGGTTAAGATTCCTCTCAGCTACCGTAAGGCATTTGTAACACCAAAAACATACATAGAGTCAGTGAAGATATTAACAGTTTTGTCTGTGGGAATACAACAAACATTAAGACAGTACATTCAACTATTCAGGCTCCCAAGGACAGTAACAAAGGGTTCCTTCAACAGATTAAAAAAAAAAGAAAATAAATGTATTCCCCATTAAACAGATTTTGTCAACCCCAAAGGAGACCCAGCCCCAAAATATTCAAAGGATTTGTAGGGGCACCTTAGTATGAGCAAGGTTTCTGTACAAGGTTTACGCTCTGCAAACAGTTATGTTGGCAACTTCTTTTATCCGTAGTCTCAGGAAGCAGAGTTGCAAGATTCAAAATTGTATATAGTTTCAAACTCTCATTTGGAGTAACTAGAAGCTTTACTTCATAAGTAGCTAAACACTGATTCCAGGAGAAAAACAAAATTTGCTTATGAGAAACAAAAAGACCCCCCCCCCCAAAAAAAACCTAGTTTATGGAAAACTCATAACCAAGTCTTACGGTTTGAACAGAAAAGACAACAGTAGCCAAACTCTTAGGCTACTACTGCATAGGATGCAGCTATAGCAGTGATATCTTAACATTGATAATGTAACAACCACAAAAAAAACCTCTTCCCTATAGGGACACAGGAATTCCTCCTCCTCACTTTTCAGCTGGGGAAAGGATATGGCTCTATTACATAGGTAGGAATGTTTATGTGGAATTCAAGCAAACTATTCAACAGGCAGAGAGACAGGTAAACAAAGAAAAATATATTCTTAAATAAAACAAAGACAGATTATTGTGATTGTAATAGCATGGACACACAGTAGTGGCGTTTGGATAACAAATCTTCTATTAGCTTTGATAATGTCAAATTACAGTCTTGCAATGTTCACTGGTTTATTACTTCACGAGCAATATTTAAAGAAAAAATGCAAATGTCTGTGACAAATTTATTCACAAAAAGAAAAATGCTATACTCTTAAAAGGGTTAATTTTGCTTCTTAGATTATAAGAAAAAGGTCTTGAGATAGTGTTACAATTGGCTTCTGATTGCACGGACAATACAAGAAAAATAAATGTTTTTCTTAAGTTGAAAAAAGGGCCTCCCTGGACTGTCATGTTAAAAGTACCACCACCTTTTAAAATGCTATAATAATGAAGCCTTAAAGTTAGGAGAATACATTATGGTTCAATAAAACTCCAAAGCTATTACTTACCGATGCTAATATCCCTTTATTTCTCGGTGGCAGCATGATCTTTGAAATTTAGTATCTGAAATATTATTAGAAGATAGTTAAAACATGTTTATGAATTGTATTTGGAGATCACTTAATCGCTGCATTAAAAGGGTGTAGTTTTAATGTGCATATTCAATATTACTTTCGATAATAATGCCGAAACATGATCCCACCTCTGATTACTTTCCTTCCTTCCTAGTATCTCCTGTACTATTCCCAATATTGTGCGGTTCATCCTCGACATTACTTCTTTCCCGCCATTTTTGGTGTGTCCGCTCCCTCTTGCGCATGCGCAATGGCGCCACCTCCCAGTCTCCTCCCCGTCTGCCGTTGAATGAACGAGGCGTCGTGACAACGTCACTTAGAGTCCCGGATGTGTCAGGTCAGGGCGTTATGAAGAGACCTCAAGGGGACTGCTGCAGCTATTGCGTATCGTTTGCAGGTGAGGTGGAACGGGTGACAGGTACAACTCACCACATCATAGGGACAAAGGGAGTAATATATAACGCTCATAGGTAACTGATTGCAAAATAATGAGCCAAAGGCCCTGACGCAAGAAGGGGCGGGACGGAAGGCTAAAAACCTCAGTTGAGGGTCGCGCATGCGCTATGATGTAGCCTCGTCCGTTCGGAGTGTAGCCTATGCGCCTTCATTCAAAGGCTGGCAGAGATTGCGCAGGCGCCTTGCATATGAAATCGTGCGAGAGAGGGAGGTTCAGGTTAATTCTAGGGCACGCATGCGGTGCAAAAAGTTTGTGGCATGCCGCTCCTTTGCGCCTGCGCTGAAGGGAATGAAAGAGGAACAGTCACATCCTGCAGCTTCCTGGCTTTTCTTTCCTTCTCCTCCCACCCCTCTTCTGTTGCGCCTGCGTATAATGTTGCTGCAGGGGCCTTGCGGAATAATGATCCTGGTGCAGCTGCGTAAGGGGGAAAGGATTGGAAGACGGAGAGATGCTGCCAAATAGTGAGCTGTGAGTGCTGTTGCTGCTTTTCAAAGGGAAAAAGAAGTAGAAGGGACCAAGAATGCTAATGAAGTGGGTAGAGGTGTTATCTTATTCTGTTTCTATAATTATCCCTGCCCACTATACTGTCCGGGTCATTGGTTATTCCTATTTATCTTGATAAAGAACAAAGTGGCAGAAGTTATTTACTGAGGCCAACAGGTAAGAGTCTTCATCATGATCCCCTTTCCTAGAAGGCAAAGAATTAGGTTGAATAATTGGTAAAAGGTGAAATGATGCTAAAGTTCATCAGTCCAGTATGATAACTGTGATTAACGAAGGTAGCTTTATATTCTGATGAAGTTTGGTGAAAATGAAACCTGGGCAGGCCATAGGCAAGAAACTTGCTGTTTTCTCATCAGTAAAATAATATCTTCAATCAGTTTTGCACATTTTGTAAGCATAAGCAACTTTATTTCAAAGTTACCGTTGCTGAAAGGATAGAAATCAGATGTGATCTGTACAAGATGATTTTTTAAATATTTCTACTATACAGTTTTTCCTGTTTATAGGATGTATATTTCCTTTAAATTTGCACTTGAACATCTTTGAGATACAGCAGTTTAAAAATCTAAATATCTGTCAACATTTGGTGTCTTGGCTTCTCAGTCAGAGATTTGATAAATGTGTAAAACTTTTTTTTGGAATGCTCAGTGGGTGCAGTATTAATGATTTTGCAGAAAAGTAAACAGTTGAAAGGGATAGTAACTATTTATTGATGTACATAATTATTATTCAGAAATTATCTTAGATAACAGGTAAGTGGGTTTCTAGATCAAGAGATGTGACTTCTCGGTTGTGCCTTTGGAAGCGAACTTCTAGCAGGTGTAGTTAAACTTGACAACACTACAAAGTTGTCAAAAATCTGCAAAGTTTTGCCTGCTACAGTCTCCTGTTCTGCAGACTTTGGAATCATGGGGACCTTGTTTTGAACTAACCAATAATAATGGCAGATCAGATCTTTAAACATTTGTAACTTATCAAGCAAAATATCCCAGCGTTGTTAAATCAAAGTCCAATAAATCAAAGTATAGATTTGAATTAAAGAGAATCTGATTACAAGACACTATAATAATTCAGATATTGGTTTAAGATATAAGCTCAAATCCATTCTTAGCAGTAGAAGCTCATGTGGATCAGGTAGTGACTTTATCACGTGATACATTGAGTCACAAACATTCAACTGAGCATGTTGTATGAACCCAGCCTTTTTGGATAGTTTATGGCACATTATATCATACAAACTGAAAAAGTTGGGCAATGTATATAAGCCATGCTTAGATAACTGTGAGTTAGCATGTCATGCAAATAATACCTGTTGTTCAGAAAACTTGGAGAGGATGCTATGTATATTGCTTTTTGCTCCTGAAGAATAAATAGGATATCAGTCTAGCAAATGAATATATATAATATGTCAATGTTTAGACTGATTAACATTTAAAATGATTAAATGTTTTAAAATAAAGTAACTTGATTTAAAGCTAAGCAGTGAACTGACCAAGTTTGTGGACATTGCCAAGCTATACAGGGATGATAAAATCCAAAAGTGATGTGAAAAGTCCAGTAGAATTTCTTTAAGCATGGTAAATAGTCAGCTAAATGGTAAATGCAGTTTAATTTAAGCAGTGTAAAGTGATACGTATTAAAACTAAGCTACTCCAAATTTTGCATTTATACAGCTAGGGCCTGAATCTCAGTTATCAAAGGAAAAGATCTTGGGGTCCATAGTAAATAGCTCAGTAAGGATATCAATGGAGCAGTGATGAAAAAAGCAAATGCTATAATAGAATTCATTAGGAAAAAGATTTTAAAATAAAACTACTAATCTTGTAATGTCATTATATGGATCTACTGTATAACTGCATCTACTATGGTGTATACTAGTTCTATTCATCACACTTAAGGTACAGATGTAAATTCAAAAAAGTGCAGAATGACATAGAAAAACATGACTGGTCAAGGTAAGATTCTTCCTATGAGAAAAGACTAGAATATTTCAGATTTCAGCTTGGTCCAAGGGTAGGGTTATGATTGAGGTGTAAGATATGGAGAAAATGTACAGGACGTTTTTTCCCTTTTAAAATATTCTGACAAAGGATCATCTGATGATGCTGCTTTAGATGTTTTAGAACAGGCAAGAACCCCTTTACAGAACATGTAATTAATTTCTAGAATTCATTACCAGTAGACTAGTAATGGTCACTTTTTTGTATAGCCTTAAAAGGTAGTTGAATTCATGAAGAAAACAAGTCTTATCAAGTGATACAAATTAAAAGCTCACTTAATTCTGGTTGAATGCACATGCTTCCCAATACTAGGGGAAGGGAAACAACAAAGGGAAAAGAGAATATCTTGGTTGCCTGTTTGCAATAATTCACAGCCATATGGCAGGCTATTTTGATGTTCTCTCTTTTTTCTTTCCTAACATTTTCCTACAAGTGCTTTTTTAAATCAATACAAATGATTCTTGATTTACGACCTTTCATTTAGTGACCAAAGTTACAATAGTACTGAAAAAAAATGATTTATGACTGTTTTTCACCCTTATGACTGTTGCGGCAGCCCCATGGTCATGGGATCAACTTTTGGATGCTTGGCAACTGGCTCATATTTATGGCAGTTGCAGTATCCTTGTGTCATGTGCTCACCTTTTGCAACCTTCTGACAACCAAAGTCAATGGGGAAGCCAGATTCACTAAACATCTGCAGTGATTCACTTAACAACTGTGGCAAGAAAGGCCATAAATAGGGCAAAACTCAATAACTATCTCACTTAGCAACAGAAATTTTGGTTTGGTTCTGGTTGTAAGTTAAAGATTACTTGTAGAATATTGATCCATTGGTTATGACAGGAATTGAATGACCAGATTGTTGCCTAATCCTGATGTAGGTTGAGAGTGACTGGCACAGAGCCAGCCAGTTAGTTTTCATGATTAAGGCGCGACCAGAACTCACAGTTGTCTTGTTTCTAGTGTGGCATTTTAACCACTAGAGCAAACTGGTTCTCTTTTATATCCTTCTCTCTCCTTCATAAATATTGCTGGAAATGTGCCTCTTAGTTGTCCAAGGTAACTTGCTTCAACAAATGTGTTCCATGATTGGTGTATTTTGAGGCATGAATGTACTTCTGGGGCAAGCTCTAGAGCTATTGGGTGGATGTGAGTTTATCAGCAATTTATTACAACTGTTAAGGAAGGTAATAATTCAATTTTGGAGGGGGAAAGAGCTCAATTCACCCTATTCATATATCAGTAAGTGGGCAGAGGAAAAGAGTTGGAGGACAAAATATTTCAAGAATTGAAATAATATGAAACATTCTATCATGCTATAAGCACTTTTACATGTGATGAGATTTCTGAATAAATTAAAGGTAATACAACTGCTGCAAAACTCTGGATAACAACTGAAGGGCATCAGAGAATAGACATTACATTTCTCTGTGGTCATCAAATGGTCATCTATGTTTTTGAGTTCAAATTTGGTAATCTTAAAATAGATTATCCACTGAAGGCAGTGACAGCAGTAAGTTTGTTTGGAAGTGATAGACTTTAAAAATATACTTAAAATATTAATCAAGGGTAAATTATAATGAGTATGAATTATTTCAAAATGATTGATCAGGAAACCTTTTTAAATTGCTTTTTTGCTCATTTCTTAGACATTAATAATTATATATATATATATATATATATATATATATATATATATATACACACACACATACACACCCACCCACACCCACACACGTATACATATACATATACAGCCTTAGAAATCCAAAATGATGGCTACTTTGCAGTGATGGCTAACCTTTTAGAGACTGAGTGCCCAAACTGCAACCCAAAACCCACTTATTTATCACTGGGTGCCAGGTGGACATGGGTGGGCGTGGCTGTAGTGGTCATGGCAGACTGGGTGGGTGTAGCCAAGATGGGCGTAGCCACCTCGATGTTGCTCATGGGGAGGGACGCCTGTGGAGGTCGAGCAGGGTTGGGGGAGATCCAGGGGGTCTCTGGCAGGTTGGGTGGTGGGAGGAGGCTCATCCTGCAGGGTGAGGCAGGGCAGGGCGGGGGTGCCATTGTCACAGGTCAAGGTGAGGCAAGGGCCAGGGCGGCTGCTGCCTGACACCATCAGCCCCCGCACACAGAGGCCAGTGAACGCATGGGGGCCGATAGTGTCTGTCAGCAGCCACAGTCTGCTGGCACCTCGACTGGCACCACCAGCAGTTCAGCCCCCACCAGCAGTTCAGAGAAGCCACCTCTGAGTTAGACAGCTGGCCGACAGCTGAGGAGGTGATGCAGTGGGTTGTGCCCGAGAAAAGGAGAACATGCGAAGCCAGGAAAGATGGGATGGGAGGGAAACCAGCCGTGCTGGGATGCATCTGGCCATGTGGGATCTCGGCAAGTTAGCGGGCGGACGGTTGAAGAGGGATGGTTGCCATCTTGGGGGCATGGCACATGTGCCCACAGAGAGGGCTCTAAGTGCTGCTTCTGGCACGTGTGCCATAGGTTCGCCACCACTGGTATATTGCATACTACATGGAGAGATAATGAGATAGGGAGGTTCTAAAATAATTGGTTATGAAATAGTAGACTGAAACTGCATAATGTAGTTAATAGTTCAAACTGTGGAATGAACTGGTTTAAAATATATGGATATCCCTTTGGACCTTCAGAGAAAGAAGATGAGATAGAATCAAGGCTGGTTTATTCTCAAGTATTATTAAATAATACTTTTGGACCTACATATGACTTATCCAAATCAATGTTTTAATACTGTCTGAAAAATTAAACCAAAGGTCCAACAAATGGATTTTTTTGGCTAAGTCTTACCGTTTTAGACAACAAATAGAATTTTTTTTACACTATTATTCCATTTAAAATATGACTGGCATATTCCATACAAATTGGCCAGGAGGTCACTTAGTGACTGTTCAAAGTTAGAAGGACCCCCAAAAGATATTTATACTG